GAAGAGGACCATGGGGGACCCCTGCTAGGCCCCATCCCCTGCCTGATCCCTCACCCTCCCTGAAGACCCCGACTCCTGCCTGCTCTCCCAGCCCCATCAATGGCTGCCCCACCTGGGCCCAGCATCCCGACTTTAAAAAAACAAAAAAAGCCTCACACTCACCAGATCCCGCTAGGCAGGGAGACGATCACTGCTGCTCCCCACTTCCCTGCGCTGTGTGGTGGGGGCTTTGCCATGAGCCCCCATCCCCTGCCCGCTCTCCCAGCCCCCCCCTCCCCACCATGACTGTCCCACCCAGCTCCCAGTTCTTTAAAACAAAAAAAAAAGCCCCAACTCATCGGCTGCTGCAGCAGCCATCAGGGCTTCTAGGGGCTCATGGCAGAGCCCCCCCCCCCACAGCACTGGGCAGTGGGGGGCAGCAGGAATTGCCCCCCACCCCACCCAGCAGGAGCCAGTGAGTGTGGGGCTTTTTTTAAAGAGCTGAGAGCTGGGGCTGGATGGAGCAGCCATGATGGGGGGGAGCAGGAGGGGCAGATAGGGCCTTCCCGATTTGGAGATTCAGCCGATTTAGCAGCGGCCAAATCTCTAAATCAGATTTGGCCAAATCAATTTGGGACAGTGATTTGAATCACTGAATCAAATCACTCTCCCCCAAATCACCTGAATCCAAATCCGAAGTGAATACTAGCTACTTTGTACAGGCCTACAGTTGTCTGTTACCCCATAGAATAGCTTCCCAGCTTACTTTTTATCCCTTATTCCCATTATTCTATATACATTATTTTATGCTTCCTTACCAGCATTTATCCCTGCATCTGTCTATTCTTATCTTAGAAAATGTGTGCTTTCAGGGAGAGAGAACAATGTGAGTATTGTCAGTTGGGTACAGATTTCTTTATTTATTTAATTAAGCTCTGATTGCCTACTGGTATGATATGAGGATTTATTGCAGCATTGTTATGCACTTGCTGGTACAGTACCATGACTTCATATGAGAAGAAAATATGTGCCAGTTGTCCAAATCCAACTTGTATGAGCTGAAAGAGATACAAAAGGAAACTCAAAGAATTTGTTCAGTGCAGTGCAACTCACCTTGACACATAGTTAATGCAGCTTGTTCAAGATGGCTCAGACAGTCTTTTCTAATAACATTTTTTTTTTTATTTTAACCCTCCAGATCATAAGAAAACAACAAAGCCAAGCTGTACAGGCTGAGGCTGCTTTTGAATGGCCACAGTCCAGGAGTAGTGGACTGGTATCTGCTGCTGTCTCAGATCAGAGCATGCTGACTTTCCCAGGGAGTCGCAGGGGATCTTTTGCATTATGGGTGAGTGATCAAATTCAGCCATCTAAAATTTCTGCTGCAAGAAATTAGAAAGTTGAAATCCTGAATGATGAGGTTGTTGAATAAAGTGTTACATGGAAGAATGCCAGGAACAGATATTAAATCAAAACATCAAGGGGTGTTTTGCTAACTGTCGTGTGATGTTAGGAAGTGAGGGAGGAGGGTCAGATTTTATTCTCTCTCCTACCAGCAGCTACACTGATATCAATGGAATGAAATTAATTTAGATAAGTAACAGGTGTATGAGTGGCCCAGTAAAGGGAAAAACTGGACCAATGCTTTTTCATGTTCTGAATGTAGGCCTGTAGGCTACTTATTTATTTATTGTAGCATCAGTTGTATTATAGGAGCTTTCCAGACATTCAAAGATGATGTGACTTAGTCCAGGATCTCATATTTTAAGGACAGACAGGCAAGCAAGGTCAGGTGTTAGGGACAAGAGAAAACGATTTATTTTCACTAACACCTGAGTTCTGCTCCCACTTATGACAATGACTCTTCGGATATATGCAGGTGTTCCCAGGACCCAATCTATAATCATGTGGCTTACTTTAAACCACATGATCGTAGATCAGGAGTGGCTTGTGCATATGTTTGCTTGGTTCTGGGAGCCATTCCAGGAACCAAATCTAAGTAAATAGGGGTAGGGAAAGGGAGAGGCAGGTGGGACTCAGGGTCCATGGGAAGAGGAGCTTTGTGGGACTGGGGGGTTGGTGCATCTGCAGGGGGGGTTGGTGGGTCTATAAGTGAGGTTGTTCATTCTGGGGGTGAGAAATGGAGGGGGGGTGGGATCAGTGGGGCTAAAAATAGCCTCATTAGGATTGGGGGCTGGAGGCGTGGGAAGAGCGCCAGTCCCAAGGCAATGCCGCTGGGCTTTCCCAGTCCTGGGGCTGTTCTCCAGGTAGTGTGCAGCTCTTTGGTAGATCAGGCTAATCTATTCCCAGTCTAACGTAGTTCATCTCCTCAGGTGAACTAGTTTAGATCAAGCTAGCCATGTTTTGCCCAGTCTAACTTCCCCAAATGTCTGTACAGATCTCCACTTAGATCAGCCTAACCCTAGTTAAGTTGATCTAAGTGTAAAATCTGCTTATACCCTTGATGAACAGGAGCAAGCCACATCACCTCTGCCCTTCATCTCACCTGTCCTAACTTTGAGGTAGAGGTAATAAAGTTTGCTAAGTCAAAGTGGTCTTGAATGCCTTTGTTAGCAAAGTTCTGCAGAGATGGAAAGCATAAAATGATTGTTTCTGAACCTTTACTACTCATCCCATTTATCCTACAAAAGTCACAGTTCTGTTGGCTTATTTGGCTGAAGCCCAATTCCCTGCTTGGGTCTAAGGCAATGGGTGTTCTTGGGGGAGCCAAAAGGGGGTCTCCCATGTTGCACTCCTGCACCTGGCATAAGTCAGAGCTGCTGAGAAGCATTTGGACCCTCCACCACTAGTGGAAGATTCCTCAGTGACCTTCAGCTAAAGGCTGAATCGATCTAATGCAGCTCTGCCATCTACCTACCCAGTCTTTCCTTGCTTGCTGCCTCCTCCGACATTCCCCCTGTACCTAGACTGTTTTCTTGGTTTTATTTCATCAATATCCTTCCACTTTGCAGACATAGTAGACAAGGGAATGTTGCCCTTTCTTCATCATCCTCAGTCATCATAGCAAAGAGAATCGATTTTGTCCCTAGGTGATAAACATTCAGGGTTATTCCAGATCCTCACCATGGCAGAGCAGTGTGATTCTCAACCAGGGTGCTGTGGCACCATGATTCACAAGATAAGCCCAGAGATTTCAAATATAAATCCATAGTTGTGGTCTTTCTGAGTTCTTTGTAACAGAAAAACTGCTTTTTTATTTTCCTGTAGTCAGAGTGAAAACTAAAAGCGGGTATTTTCTGAGGGGCACCATGAATCTATCCAAGATTGCTTCTAATCTAGAAAGGTTGAGGACCACAGTTCTATAAGGTGAACTGAGACCAAACTCTCAAGTACTATCTAAAAATGAGTCCACTGACAAAGAGAATAAATCAGTCTTTTTCAATATCAGTATTTTCCAATATTTATATTGCCTCTTTCATAAGCCCATTGAAATCAATAGGTTTTGGGGGGTTTTCTGTAGCAGTTCCACTGGACTTTGGAGCAGTCATAAAATGCATAGGTGATTTGTAAGAAATTATCTTCATCACAAGCATTTTCAAACACAATGCCAGGACTGGATATAAAGACTTCCTGATGTACTCGAAAAAGCACATACACTGTTGGATGCTGCATTTTCTTTTCTACACTATGAACCTTCTCCATTGGCAGCAGGAGTACTTTCTGTTTGGCCCCAGTTTTTATATAGAGCAGACTGACTTGATTCCAGGGGAAACAAGACTTGATCCTTAGTGGATTTTCCCTTTAGCATATGGTTGAAGCATAGTTTGTTTTATTTTAATTTTATGAAACGTTATTTCTTGTGCTGTGAGGTGCTAACGCAAATTGAAAAAATGGTCTTTTAATTTTTTTTCCTAGATGTCCAAACAAACAAATTAAACACAGCTGTAAAACAGCAGCTAGGCCCCATATCATATTAAAGGGCTTTTTCTTCCTCCTCTTGCTTATTTCACAGAACGATGTGTTTAGCTCTTACTAGGGAGTTGAATAAAATCTGACAGGGTATAGTGTGGAGATAAAATCAACAGCAATAAGGGAAAAGATGTTAACATAAAATGTAATAATTTCTTTGGACTGGATTTTTTTTTTCTCTTCAGAGATTAACTGAGATTAACTCAGAGATTAAGTACAAACATACTAACTCATCTTGATATCTAACTATCAGGCATCTTTTTGTAGAACCACGATAGTGGCTGGGGAAAAAATGAAATTCTCCATGGAGTCAGTGGAAGTTTTCCTTAGTGATGATAGGGTTACAGGCTGGTAAAATAATAAGTGAGGTGTTGAAAGTTTTAACAGCAAATCGATGACTGCTGTTCCTCTGAATCTAGCAAGCATAAGGATGCGCTCATCCAGCCTTGAAATTCTGTACTGAAACAGCAAACACATTCACATCCTGTTTTATAATATGTATCATATAGAATTTTCTTGGTTTAAATAGTACTAGGCTTGACAGAA